TAATGAGTTCAGGCTGGTATAAGGATTGACAAAATTACTGACCAGCACTGTAGGACAATAATTGAGATACATGTACTGTAAATGTTAACTCCTTTAGGTATTCAGATATAAAACTAAGGAGGTGTGTTATGATTACAAATGAGACAACTATCAACCATCAACCAGACACCAGACACCAAAGGATGCAGATATAAGCAGTCAAGTGTATCATTGAAAACATTTTTTTTTTAAATAACTTCATATGATTACTCATCATTCCAAATAACTGGTAAAGGTTATGATTAAAAGTAACCAAAAGCAGTTATTAATTTGGGTCTTTTAAGGGACTTAACTCCAGGAAATTTTGTGAATTAATAACTAGTTTTAGTAACATGTTTATTCCAAATTCATCGTCACTTTTATACATCTGTAGACATGGTAGATATTTAGATATGCAAACCATTTCACAGATCTTTTCAATTTGTTTAAGATAATGATGCAATTAATTGCTCTTTATAATGTGTCTAAAAGATAAATTGAATATTATATCCCATGGGGTTATTCTTTAAAAGACTTTGCACATTCTTAACTTACAATGCCCAGAGGTGGATTTAGGGGGGCGCAAGGGGCTACGACCCCCATTATGGAGCTACATACATACTTAATGCATAGGCTTTTTTCATGTTCTACTCTAGCTGTCTAGTTTGGGGCTCTTTTTCAATATCATGGATACACATCTGAAGCCACATGGAATTTTATTAGTAATTTTTAGAGATGAACTATAAAAGGGACAATATCCCAATATCCAATGGAAATTCTTCCACTAATTATTGTGAAAGACCTCTGGAACTGAGCAAATTAAAATCAAATATTAAACACCACCGAACACATTATAAACACCACCGTCATGACCATACACCACCGAACACATTATAAACACCACCATCATGACCATACACCATTGAACACATTATAAACACCACCGTCATGACTATACACCACCAAACACATTATAAACACCACCGTCATGACCATACACCACTGAACACATTATAAACACCACTGTCATGACCATACACCACCGAACACATTATAAACACCACCGTCATGACCATACACCATTGAACACATTATAAACACCACCGTCATGACTATACACCACGGAACACATTATAAACACCACCGTCATGACTATACACCACCAAACACATTATAAACACCACCGTCATGACCATACACCACCGAACACATTATAAACACCACCGTCATGACCATACACCACCGAACACATTAAACTTCTTTCTGACACATCTAAATATATTGTTTTCATCTTTATTTAAATATTTGACTTACCTTCTGAACATATACATTCTAATTAATAAGAAATGATAACCAGAGAAACAATAAGAACAGTCTTCTTGTCTTACAAGGGCTGTTGCCAGACAATTTCAGTCTAAAAATATTTTTTTTACATATAATTATTGTGATAATCTCACATAAAATAAAATGTTTTCACTAACTTAATCAATTGTTTAAAAATTGAAAAGAAAAGACATTAAGATAGTATACAATGAAATATATATATACAATGTAATTAAATCATGAAAACAAATTATTTTGCTGAATCCTGAAACGTTCCATACTATAATGCACATAAAAATATAAAATCAAGAGTGCACACGCTGAAATGTCTCGCCTGTTTTACTGACCATTGTCAAGGTCAGATGAAACATGCAGACTGACATGTACCCCTTACAATCATTCCATACACCACATATAGTTGACCTACTGCTTATAGTATCTGAGAAACAGACATAATCACGTAACTTAAACCTTGATCATGGATTCATATAATGAGGTCAAGGTCAGGTGAACCCTGTCTGACGGACATGTAGACGTTGCAAGGATCACATATACCAAATATAGTTATCCTATTACTCTTAATCATGATAATAAATGAGAAATTCGCATGATAAACTTATTTCTTTTTTTCAAGCCGTCGCTTAACCATAACGATGAGGTCAAGGACAATGGAGATATGACAGACGTAACTTTGTAACATAAGGTATCTGCATACAAGGTATAAAGCATCTAGGTCTTCTACCTGCTGAAATATAAAGCTTTACAAAATGGTTTACACCGCCGCTAGATAGTAAGACCTATGTCTTGCATACTGCGACTTTCAGTGGAGGCCAGACAAAAAATAATAATAGGATTAAATATTACCTTATTTAATCTTTTTTATGGTGTAGTGGCCTTTTTGGGTGTTCTGTGGTGTGCGGTGGTTTCCGTGGTGAAGAGACTGACCCCTAATTATGTACTAAAATTTCCAGCGCCACAAGTCAGGATCGAACCCAGGACCTTCAGCACTGTAGCCATTGTTCTTAACCACTACATGTAGGCCACAAACCCACAATATTGTTTTGCATTATGTTACCATTATACAAGTATTAACAACTAGTATAAAACTATTTAACTGATGTTGTATATGATTGCCAATAGACCCTATCGCTATTTGGGAATCTGCAACACTTGACCCGTGAATTTGTGACACTTGAACTATTGAGGTCATACAACAATTACTTTTCCTTTGTGGTGTCAGACATTTTCTCTTGTGACATCAAAATTTTACGGGAACTTCTGTGATGTCCAGCAATGGCGGACAAATCTTTTTTCTTTGTTGATCTTGTATTTCTGATCATTTTTTCTGTTAAAAGTTTCTCTCTATTTTCTATAGTTTTTGCCGAAGACACAAAAAACGGTAAAAAAATTATCATTTAAGTCCATCACTCATATAAAGAGTAAATAACCGATTTCAGCAAAATTTACTTATTTTTAGTTTCTATCTATCTTTTAATAGTTTTCAAGATAGTGAGCAAAAACGTAAAATATTGGTAAAAATCGTCTTTAAAGTGCAAGAACTCCTACAAGGAGTCGACTGACAATTTCAGCTATTTGACTTATTTGTAGAATAAGTCTTGCTGATTATTTTTGCCTATTTTAGTTTCTATCTATTATAGTTTTTCAGATATTAAGCAAAAATGCAAAAAAATGGAACAATTTGTTCCCAAGTTTAGATTTTAAATAATATTCATCATACCTACCAGTGAGAATTAACATTTATTTAATTAGAATATAATTCGTGTTTTTTAATTTTTGCGAGTTAGCGAACAGTTGTTCTCGTCGCTGCAAACATTTAAAAAAATTTAAGTTTCTTTCTTTTGAAGACGTATACTTCTTAGAATATTAGAGAGTTGACAACGTTAAGTTTGAAATTTAAAATTATTTAAGTATGGATTCCAATCTCGACTTGCACGAGTTTTCGGAGGTAAACAAGGATTCACCATCTTTAGTGGTCTCTGAGAAGGAATAGAAAGAGGGCTCAATGTCGAGAACCAAAGACAAGAATGGTCGGGTTGGTAATGCAAAGAAAAAACCTTCAAAGTCAATGGCTTTACAAGAAGAGTACAACGAAAAGCTAAAAGGTTTGCAATTGCAAAAAAATGGTAAAAATCATTATCAAAGGGTAGTGTCAAGTCCCGTCAATATATATGTTCCTGCGCCAAGTGATGAAAACACGCAGCTCACTTGGCCTTTATCGGGTCCGTTCGCGCCCAATACACGTTCGCACCCTACACTTTCGCACCCCACACGTTCGCCCCCTAGGTCCGTTCGCACCCTTTTTTTTTTTTATTAAAAAACCTGATAAATTTTTAGATATTTTGTAGATTTTTATATCAAAATATTTTTATTTTCATAAATAAAAATTCGGGAATTTTTAAATGAAATATTGTTTTAAATTGATTTGATGATTAATTATTAAATGTTAATTATGTATGATTACTGTTAATTGGTATTTATACACAGCCTAATTTGGTGTTATTGTTGAGTGTTTAAAAATCATGATTGTTGTCATGGTTGTTTTAACTTGCTGTGATGTAAATACTGCATGTATTTAGCTTGGTATGAGTAAAACTTTGAAGATTTTAAATAAAAAACATGAAAGATAATTGTTTTTAACAGCTTGGCTCCTTTGATCCCATGTGTGTCAGAATCCCACTTCATTCATAAACAATGAAAAAAAATATTTATAGCAATACACTATCCAAAACATGATTACGAATTATTCAACACATATAAAAAACGTTTTCATAATCCCAATTCCTTTTGAAACAATAAAAAAGAAATATTTAAAGCAATACACTAACCAAAACATGATTAAGATTTTATCAACACATGCAAAAAACGTTTTCAGAATCTCACTTTATTTAGAAACAATGAAAACAAATATTTATAACAATACACCAGTGTACACTAACCAAAACATGATTAAAAATTATTCAACACAAAAATAAAATACTGGTCGTCAGAATCTCACTTTATTTAAAAACAATGAAAAAAAATGTTTATAGCAATATATTTACCATGACACAAAAAAAACCTTGTCAGAATCTCACTTTATTTAGAAACAATGAAAAAATATATATTTATAGCAATACACTTACCAAAACTCGTTTACAAATTATTAAACACAAAACCAATAAAAATTGGGCGCGAACGTGTAGGGTGCGAACGGACTCTGGGTGCGAACGTGTAGGGTGCAAAAGTGAAAGGGGGCGAACGTGCATGGGGGCGAACGTGATTGGGCGCGAACGGACCCGGATTCCTTTTAGGCCATGGCCAGGTTAGTCCAAATAATTATGACGTCTGGAAAGGCTATTATATTTTTTTGCTTTGACGCCTTCCTGCGCAGGAAAGGCGTCAAAGCAAGAAAAAATAGCCTTTCAAGACATCATAATTATTTGGACTTAAAGCCTAATAAAGGCCAGGTGAGCTAAATATAAAAAAAGACAAGCATTAAAGCAAGTGCCTGTGCATGGTTGGATCCGATTGAAAATGTTAACTGTTTTCAATAAACCAGTTTGCTGTGATAATATACTTACAGTTAATTAGGACTATCAATCAGCACCATGTGTATACATAGAAAATCACTATCAGAAAGTTTTTATTGTAGACAAGGGAGACAACTCGTTTTACTTTGAAGGGACCAATGACGGAACAAACACGAAGAACTGGTCCACTTGAGTTCACAATGCACACGTTTAAATTATGTGTACTGACATACTTCCAGAACGATTCCACAGTGATTTGTTATCATTAACAACAATTATCATTTGTAAAATGAAATAGTTTCTCAATGTTTGTAGACTATTTAGTATTTACAGGTTTTAATTCCCGCCACTTTCCGGAGTTACACTCGGTGACTATACAAACAACTGTCCCATGACCTGAAGAACCATAAAGGAAAAGCTGAACAACTGTCGTAGAAATGATCAAGAAAGCAATTGCAGTAGTTGTTGGAATAATTATAATACAGTTTATTGTAAAAACTCTGTAAGATTTTACATTTTCAAAAGGTTTTAATGGTTGAAAGCCATACAATTAACTGTACAATGTGACCAAGGATTTGTATACACATCCTTGAATCGGCTTGATGACCTAATTGCTTAAGGTTCATGTGGACCCTTCGTCTAAAATGGCTGCATTTTCACCTCAAAATTTACTCTGAGTACAGACAAACCTGTGCATCTGGAAAAGTTTTAAGGCATAGCATGCCCTAGATAAATAAAATTCAAATATAGTTTATGTTTTAGAAAATTAAAAACTTAACCGGATTTTGCAGTGCACTTTTTTTCATTCCTCCAGAAGGTGCCAAATAAACTAAGTTGGGAAAGTGGTTTGAGAACTTCCCCACAGGTAATAATTGAAGTGAACTGTTTTGATTGACATGGACAATAGATGGACAATAGATACCTGACAATAATTGGTGATTTAAACTGTGTACCTGAGTGGACCATATCAAGTGAAACTCAACTGTTTGTTAATTTTATCATCTTCTGCAGGAATGAAAAAAAGTGCACTGCTAAATCCAGTTAAGTTTTAAATTTTCTAAAACATACAATGCATTAGAAGTTTATTTATCTAGGGCATGCTATGCCTTAAAACTTTTCCAGATGCGCAGGTTTGTCTGTACTCAGAGTAAATTTTGAGGTGAAAATGCAGCCATTTTAGCCAAAGGGTCCACATGAACCTTAAATCCACTTCATTTGGACTTAATATAGTTGTCTCATTTGCTATCTCTATCTATCTTCTTATTTCCACACCCAGTCACAACTTTGACTATTATTTGCCGTTGCATGCATGGCTTAATTATGTACAATTTAAAAGAAATATATTTTTCAGTAATATTAAGTTACATTGGTGAACAGAAAAAATAAAATATATTACAGTGATTTTTTTTTTTTTTTTGTGGATTGTTATCCTATGTATATTTTTTGGTAAAACTATGTACATGTTCAATGCAGTGTTTAAAATATTTGTGAAAGAGCAGATATAGAAATCTGCTCTTTGAAGCCGTCAACTGTTGTACATAGGATTGCTGATGTTGGAAGTAGGTTCCATTGTACTATTGTGTGCGGATAAAATGAGAATTTGTAAGAATCTTTATTGGTTTGAATCTCAATTTGATTGATTTGATTTGATTTTTGTTGTGAGGGTCCTAGTGAGACAGACAAGAGCTGTACTCAAGCTTAGGTCTAACTTATGACATGTATGCCCTTTCTTTTATTTGTTTGGAAGATACTTTTAGGTTAAGTTTTAGAAAATTTAGGTGTCGATTTGCATTTGCTGTTATATTATCTACATGTTTATTCCATTTAAGATCTGATTGGATGGTTATGCTTAGATATTTTGTAGCTGTTTCAGTTTGTAGAATGTGACCATGAAGGATGTAGTCATGGTTGACTGGTTTCTTTTTTTGTGTAATTCTGAGTATGGAGCATTTGTCTGGATGGAATGACATTAACCAGTCTTTTTCCCATTGTGCTGAATATAAGTCCTGTTGTAATTGAATGCATCATCTTTGTTTTTTAATGTTTCTGTAGATGATGCTGTCATCGGCAACATACCATACCCCACAATTTTTGTTGATAACATTTTTTTACTACACCTTTTACTAGATTGAGGAGGAGTTTTAAGGTTCATCATAACCTTTTGGCTAATATGACCGTATTTACACCACAATTTTTACTCTGTGTACAGACACACCTGTGCACCTGGAAAAGTTTTAAGGCATGGCAGGAACTCTAAGATAATTAAATTTTAAATGCATTTTATGTTTCAGAAAATTTAAACTTTTCTGGATTTTGAGATTCCTTTTTTTCCCCACAGAAGTTGCCAAAAAAAAAAAGTTTTGAAAAATGTTTGAGATGTTCCCCTAATGGGCCTATGTAAATAATTGTAGTGAATTGTATTGATTAACTGGACAATAGATGGACAATAGACATCTGGACAACAATAGGTGATTTAAACTGTGTATTTGAGTGGACCATATCAAATGTAACTCAGCCTGAGTCTCAGGTGTTTGTTTATTTTATCCCAATCTGCAGGCTTAAAAAAAAGGAATCTTAAATTCCAGGTAAGTGTTTAATTTTCTGAAACATAAAATGCATTCAAATTTTATTTACCTAGTTCCTGCCATGGCTTAACACTTTTACAAGTGCACAGGTTTGTCTGTACTCAGAGTAAATTTTGTGGTGTAAACACGGCCATATTTTTCAATTCCTTCTGATGAACCTTAAAGGCAATACATCCCGAGGGTTTCCTATTGTCAAGTGTCGAGTTGCGAGTACTCCAAATAATCATTTAGTCTTGAAGGCGTCACAGAAAAAAAAAAATTGAATTAGCCTTTAAAGATGTCATGATTGTTTGGACTAAGTTGCGAGTTATAAAAGTTGAGTTGCAAGTTAAAAAATATCTAATTGTGAGTTACAAAAGTTGAATTGTAACTCAACAACTAGATACTCTACATAAGTAAATCTCATATATCCCATATTCTGGCTAGAATTAAAAAAAGGTATAATTTTAAAGCTTGCATGAAAGTGAACATGGCAAGATTTAGGGATTTTATATTTTGTTCCATTGTTTTGGGTACCAGTACTTTTTTGTTTTTGAGCATTGAAAAGACATTTTTATTTTATTTAATTGTTAACTGTGATAAATCCACTATGAAGTGTATTCTTAGACTTAGACTACAAAAGTGTTTATTTTAATGGTCATTCAGATAAAACTGAACCTGATTGAGTTATAAACACAAATGATTTATTGTGGATGAAAAGTGTGGACAGTACTTAGTTAAAAATTGGGTCAAGTTATACAGCATAAATTTATTTTTGGATTTCTCCCAAGATTATCAGTGATAAAACCTTTTTTAGAAAAATTAACATTTATTCAATCATTTGAATTTTTTTCTTTGGATAACAATACACATATATATCTTTTATCGCTGACTAGTTTCCCTGTTGTTCGTTTTGTTTTAAAGAATTGACATTTACAGCCCAAATAGGCCAAAAATAGAGATTTTAATGTTAAACTGCATTATTAAGGTCTAGGGAACACAATGCAATTATGCAAGATTTTAACAACTATTCAAGACAGATTGATAATTTTTGTTTCACCAGCGGCAAAGTCCCAGAATACGAGACATGGGGATTATTGTCTCACTTACGACGAAAGTAGCAGAATGCGAGACGTGGATTACTATCAGGTGGGGGCGAAAACTATATGTTTAAAACTTTATATTTCAGAAGGTTAGAAGACCTAGATGCTTCATACCTTGTATGCAGATACCTTATGTGACAAAGTTTCTGTCTGTCATATGTCCATTGTCCTTGACATCATTTCCATGGTTCAGCGACGGCTTGAAAAATTATAGTTTTTTTGTCATGTGAATCTCTCACTTTTTATGTGTAATAGGATAACTATATTTGGTAAATGGGTTCCTTGTTATGTCTACATGTCGTTCACTTGACCTTAACCTCATATCATGGATAAGTGATCAAGGTTAAAGTTAGATTATAAGGTCCATTTCTCAGACAATATAAGCAGAAAGTCAACTGTATGTGGTGTATGGAATGATTGTAAGGGGCACATGTCAGTCTGTCAAGTTTCATCTGACCTTGACCTTATTTTCATGGTTCATTGGTCAATGTTAAGTTTTGTAGGTTGTTCCTCTTTTCAGATGTTACAAGTATAAATAGGTCAACTCTATTTGGTACATGGAATGATTTTAAGGTATACATGTCTGTCTGTCATGGTTAATTTGACCTTGACCTCATTTTCATGGTTTATTGGGCATGTTATGTTTTCCTGGTTAAGTTTGTTTCTAAATTACTATAAGCAATAGGTTAACTATATTTGGTGCAAGAAATGATTGTAAGGTGTACATGTCTGTCTGTAGTGTATCATCTGACCTTGACCTCATTTTCATGGATCATTGGTCAATGTTAAGTTTTCATGGTTTGGTTTGTATCTTTAATACTATAAACAAACTATATTTGGTGTATGGAATGATTGTAAGGAGTACATGTCTGTCTCTTAATTTTTATACGACCGCAAAAAAATTTTTGTGGTCGTATATTGGTATGACGTTGGCGTCGTCGTCGTCCGGCGTCGTCGTTGCGTCGTCGTCGTCGTCGTCCGGCGTCGTCTGGCGTCGTCCGAAGACACATTGGTTTTCGCACTCTAACTTTAGTTTAAGTGAATGGATCTTTATGAAATTTTACCACAAGGTTCAATACCACAAAAGGAAGGTTGGGATTGATTTTGGGGGTTATGGTAATAACAGTAAAGGAATTAGGGGCCAAAAAGGGGCCAAAAATAAGCATTTTTGTAACTTCCAGACATAACTTGTGTGTTAGTGTATGGATCTCTCTGACATTGTACCACAAGGTTCCATATCACTAAAGGAATGCTGGGATTGATTTTGGGGGTAATTGCCTCCAAGTTTTAGGAATTATGGGCCAAAAAAGGGGCAAAAAACAAGCATTTTTCTAGTTTCATGACAATAACTTGTGTGTAAGTGTATGGATCTTTCTGAAATTGTACTACAAGGTTCCATATCACAAAGGGAAAGCTGGGTTTGAGTTTGGGGGTAATTGCCCTAAACGTTTAGGAATTGGGGGCCAAAAAGGGGCCAAAAAACACATTTTTTTCTAGTTTCCAGACAATAACTTGTGTTCAAGTGTATGGATCTCTCTGAAATTGTACTGCAAGGTACCATACCACAAAGGGAAGGCTGGGATTGAGTTTGGGGGTGATGAATCATAATGGGGGTTCAAAAAATTTTGGGGGGGGATTTATTTTTTTTTCCTTTTTTTTCTTTTTTTCCTTTTTTGTTTCTGTTAAAATTTTCCATTTTAAGTTGGTTATTTCTGATTTATATTTAAAATCAAATAATAATGATATGGTAGGAGATACACACCAAACAGGATGTGTAAATTATTATATAATAAGTATTGTGCAATAGCAAGAAATTTTCAATTGCACAGTATTGCACAATAGCAAGAAATCTTCAATTGCACAGTATTGCGCAATAGCAAGAAATCTTCAATTACACAGTATTGCGCAATAGTAAGAAATATCCAATAGCACAATATTTCGCAATAGCAAGAAATTGTCAATTGTACAGTATTGCGCAATAGCAAGAAATATTTAATAGCACAGGATTGAGCAAAAGAAGATACTTCCTATAAATTGCTTATTTCTTGACCAATTTCAATGGGGTTTTATTCTTGATTTCATGGGGTTCTTTAATATGCTGAATCTAACCGTGTATTTAGTTTTTGGATTTTGGGCCCCGTTATCAACTTTGTCCACATTGAGGTCAAAAGGGTCCAAAATTAAACTTTGTTTGATTTCATCAAAAATTGAATTATTGGGGTTCTTTGATATGCTGAATCTAACCGTGTATTTAGATTCTTAATTTTTGGTTCTGTTTTCAAATTGGTCTACATTAAGGTCCAAAGGGTCCAAAATTAAACTTAGTTTGATTTTAACAAAAATTGAATTCTTAGGGTTCTTTGATATGCTGAATCTAAACATGTATTTAGATTTTTGATTATGGGCCCAGTTTTCAAGTTGGTCCAAATCGGGGTCCAAAATTAAACTTTGTTTGATTTCAACAAAAATTGAATATATGGGGTTCTTTGATATGCTGAATCTAACCATGTATTTAGATTTTTGATTTTTGGGCCCCGTTATCAACTTTGTCCACATTGAGGTCAAAAGGGTCCAAAATTAAACTTTGTTTGATTTCATCAAAAATTGAATTATTGGGGTTCTTTGATATGCTGAATCTAACCGTGTATTTAGATTCTTAATTTTTGGTTCTGTTTTCAAATTGGTCTACATTAAGGTCCAAAGGGTCCAAAATTAAACTTAGTTTGATTTTAACAAAAATTGAATTCTTAGGGTTCTTTGATATGCTGAATCTAAACATGTATTTAGATTTTTGATTATGGGCCCAGTTTTCAAGTTGGTCCAAATCGGGGTCCAAAATTAAACTTTGTTTGATTTCAACAAAAATTGAATATATGGGGTTCTTTGATATGCTGAATCTAACCATGTATTTAGATTTTTGATTTTTGGGCCCCGTTATCAACTTTGTCCACATTGAGGTCAAAAGGGTCCAAAATTAAACTTTGTTTGATTTCATCAAAAATTGAATTCTTGGGGTTCTTTGATATGCTGAATCTAACCATGTATTTAGATTTTGGATATTGGACCATAATAGGTGAATGTCCAATTTAAAATTTTTAAGTTCTTAGACCACATTCAATCTGTGTTAGAAACCTATGCTGTGTCAAATATTTAATCACAATCCAAATCCAAAGCTGTATCAAGCTTGAATGTTGTGTCCATACTTCCCCCAACTGTTCAGGGTTCGACCTCTGCGGTCGTATCAAGCTGCGCCCTGCGGAGCATTTTATTTATTTCTAAGACTTTGAAAATTAAATCAATCATGGTTACTAAAGCAGGTGAGACATTTCAGTGCGTGCACTCTTGTTTTTGAATTACATGATTTTAAAAGATTTTTGTTTGTCCACACATGTGCTATATGTTAACTACTGGACTTAAAAATCAATGGAAATGGGCTTGTTTTTATAAAATTTGGAAGAAAATAAACATATATGTTTTTCATGATATTATTATTTTGCTTATAGTTTGTTCACATATTTCTATCTGTATCATCAAAACAATAATCGAAATAAGTGACTTTTTACCTGCGTCGCTACAGGCAAAAGCAGATCTAGTAACTGCATGACTCGGTCAGTAGGTCAGTCCATCTAAAAGACCTTGGGTAGAAAACTTTTGTAAAGGAATCTTGGCTTCTATCAAAGGGAATAATTTAAATTCTATCAAAGGTAATAATTTAATATTTGGACTGCAGCTTGATAATGTTGAGTTGTAGTGAGTAAGCTTTTACATTCGCCCTACAAGCACTTCCTGTTTGCCGAAAGTTTGGAATTTGAAGTTTGAAGTTTTAAACGAGTGGTTGAACAACACATTAATTCACGAATGTGGGTATGAGTTTTGTACTGTCAAATGTTGAATAATTTTCGATATTTTAATTCTTTGATTAATTCTTCTTTTTATTTCATTGACCATGACTTTTTAATGAAAATAAAGTAGGAAATAAAAGGAACTATATTTTTTTCTACGCATTCTGACTTGTTTTGATGCAATGTCATCAACAATGTATTGACAACACCAATTGTTTTATGAGATCAGAGGAGTGAAATTATCAGATTTATTTCACATTTTAAATTATGTGTCTTTTATTTCATGGCAATAATGTAATAATATTGATTTCACTGAAAATAAAACAATTATCTGAATTTAAGTGAACTCCATGACATTAGATATTAATTTTTTTTACATCTGATTTAAACAATTTGTAACTCTGCATGTGGACTGTTAGTCCTTGAGGTATCACCAGCCCAGTAGCTCAGTACTTTGGTGCTGGCAAGGAAATAATAATACTGTTTTTTATGAATGTTGAAGTAATGAAACATATGATCCGTTGTTGTTACTGGACCTTCTACATTTTATGTTTTTATCGTAACGACCCTGCATACCCAAGGTATCCACTTTATGGAATCTATGGACAGAAGATTTACCAGGCGTTGGTTCACTTGTGTTTAAATTTAAACATATGAAAAAAGTTGTTAAGTAATGGGTAATATTTCTTCCCCATGAATAGCTCTGATCATATATTCCTTGTCCATGTTTGATTTTACATACAATGTATGCTCCAATTTATGTTTATCAGCACTTAAATGTTTGATTTCCAAATATTTAAGCCTCAAGCATCTCTGGAGAGACGTTAATTGTGGAACAGTGCATCTTGTCCAGTAAAATTTGTTTCTTTGAATGTTATGTTTATTAAATGTATAAATATGTGTATGTACCATACTAATCCCTTTACTCATCCCACTCATTTCTGTACACATTTTGTACATGGTACCCCCGGTATGTATTTACATTTTTTAAGGGATAATCAAAGGTATAATTTTTATGTACATGATTTAAATAAATATTTTTTCAGTACCCAGTTTTCAGTTTTATTAGTCATCATGGTAGCAGTATGTTTCCAGATATTTATTTCTTGGTTTGAGACTATAATTGTCTGTATTCTACTTTAAATACAGTCCTTGAAGGTACTATCTATTATAATTTTGTAGATAATACAAAATACATGTAATCTTGTAACAGGAAAAATGAGTAAACCTTTCAAATTTATTAAATAAATGTGTATGTACTAGTACTGAAACATGTCTTTTCTGGTTGTAATGTCACAGTCACCTTTTAAAATAATAACTTTAAAAACTTCCCTCTTTGTATCTAATTTTTTGTGTGTTTCAGACATAGCATGGAATTTTTAAAGTATGTGTATAACCATACACCAGGACCCTGCAGAATTGTTCCTGGACAAGGTAATGTTATGGCCCATATTAATACCATTATGGCTTAAATATTTAAATAGCTTGCTACAGCAAATGGGAGGCCAAGTATTTGTGTAACACAGTGAATGAATTTATAAAGACTCTTTACTCGTAACATGGCTCATAATCTTATACTGGTTTAAAAGACCAATGGTGCAACTGCTACCTGTATTTCATACCTGCATTCATGTTATTTAATTTATTCTTGCTTTATACCTTGATGTTGTTAGGTGAGCTGCAAAAAAGTCGACTGCAATAATATGATGTTATTTCCTCTGACCACTTTTGAACCATATCTCAAATCTACATCAAATTTAGCATATTTGTTTTCATTTATTGTTTTGTATATAAATCAGGTCTTTGGTTTTCTTTTTTGAACTGTTTTTCATTTTGTCATGTTTAGGCCTTTTATAGCTTACTGTATAGTATGGGTTTTGCTCATTGTTGAAGGCTGTAATGTGACATATAGTTGCTTACATCTACATCACTTGGTCTCTGGTGGATGGTCTCATTGACAATCATACCACAATTTGTTATTTTTATATTAGCTTGAAAATTTCCTTTTGAAAGAACATGACAAGACCCTCTTGTTTTCCTGTTTAGTAGGTCAAAGGAAAAGGTCACAATATCTATAAATAGACTAAAATTTTGGTAAAAGTTTCATTTCAGGACAAAATCTTTTGAGATAAGATCTTTTGCCTTGAACTGGAAAGACCTTTATTGACTTTTATGTCACTTGGTCAAGGTGAGGGTTACAGCAGCAATTTATAGACTTACAGTTTTGGAAATTTCTGTTTTCCATCATTTGACATATTGATTTGTAGACTTAACAGTGCTTAAGGATGTATTCTTCTGACGTTTCAGTCTCGTTGAAATCTCGTTCTGGAATTATTTCCAAAACATGTGATACAAGTGGAAAATATCAATGAATTTAAAAAATGTTATAATCAAACTTAAATCTGTGAAAAAATTGTGTATGTACAATAATTAGTTTTTGAGTAATAAATTTTTCAAATTTTATTACCAATCAAGTCAGTCTTTTTAGCCAAAATTTTGATAAAATGGGTGAGGGGTACAAGAAATTATTTTACCAGAAATATGTACATCCCATATCACTTTTTTCTTTTCAAATTTCTTAGATATGTATTTTTTCAATCATTTATAATAAAGAAGTTGAAATAATACGCATTTTGTTCTTAAAATAGAGAAAAATCACAAATTTACAAAATTGACAACATGGTAAATTTGACATGAAAAAGCATCAAAATATGATAAAACTTTCTTATAGTAACACCTACCTATAGTTTTTTTAAGTTTAATTTATTCAGATTGGTCCACTTCATCTTTATTGAAAGTATGAAAAAAAGTTTAATTGTGGAACTGTGATTTTTTTCACGATAATAGCCCAAAAATGGGTAAAAATTGATGAAAAATGAGAAAATCATCAAAATTGGTTACTTTCAAGGGGCCGTAGCAAAAAAAGAACTGCACCACCATATGATTTTTTCTTCATCAATTATTTTTTTACAGTCATATAGACCCAAAAATCAGGTTAAGAAAAAAAGTTTAAATCTAGAAATTTTTGGCTCCTCAGAGGTGTACATCCTTAACAGTCCAATACCAAAAAAACACAAAACAATTAGAACTAGATACAAAAAAACTGTTTTTTCCCTACAAAAGGTATGATCCAAAATGAGCTTTTGAACCCACGGTAGGGTGCCTTGTTTAATATATATAGAAATCATACTTATTTTACAGTCTGAACAAACTCCAGTATCCTTTTATATAATGGAATTTTGTAAAAGATTAAAACATTTTTGGAACTTTTCTTGTACTAAATTTTGTTTGATCTAGCTTCTCTGGATTTGAACTAAGAAATCAAAACCCTTTCAGTTTAACTAATCAAAATGTACAATAATCATCTTGATCATCTGTACCTAGATCAAAATCAGTTTACCTCTTATTTCAAATTATTGTGTTTTCTACCATATTTTAGAAAGAAATGGAAATTTTGCTCCTTAATTGCAGAAAGTTTTAACATATATTATATATTTTTGTCTCGCCTTGACGGAGTCAAAAAGCGAGACATAGGTATGCTGTTTCCGGCGTCGGTGGCGGCGGCGTCAACAATGTATTAGTTTGTGATTAGGTCTAGTTCATGGTGAACCACTAGTGGTAGGTCAATCATATTTAGTATGCAGTTGTATTAGCATTGGCACATCTCATTACCATGGAGATTATTTGGCCCCGCCCCCTCAGTCAAGGTCTATTGACTTTGAAACTTTGCTAAGTTTACATGTATTAGTTTGTGATTAGGTCAGTTTATGGGGAACCACTAGTGGTAGGTCAATGATATTTGGTATGCAGTTGTATAAGCATTGGCATATCTCATTACCATGGAGATTATTTGGCCCCGCCCCCTCAGTCAAGGTCTATTGACTTTGAAACTTTTCATAGTTTACATGTATTAGTTTGTGATTAGGTCAATTTATGGGGAACCACTAGTGGTAGGTCAATGATATTTGGTATGCAGTTGTATAAGCATTGGCATATTTCATTACCATGGAGATTATTTGGCCCAGCCCCCTCAGTCAAGGTCTATTGACTTTGAAACTTTTCATAGTTTGCATGTATTAGTTTGTGATTAGGTCAATTTATGGGGAACCATTAGTGGTAGGTCAATGTTAATTGGTGTTCAGTTGTATAAGCATTGGCATATCTCATTTACCATGGAGATTATTTGGCCACCCCTGATCATGGTTCATTGACTTTGAAACTTTTACATAGTTTACAAGTTAATGTTTGTGTTTAGGTTTGTTTAAAGCGAACGACTTATAATAAGTAAATGGTATTTGGTATGCAGTTGTATTAGCATTGGCACATCTCATTCCATGGAGATTGTTTAGCCATGTACCTTCAGTCATGGTTCATCGACTTTGAATATTTACATAACTTGCATGTTAAAGTGTTGCGATTTTATAATTTCAACATTTGCATTATCAAAATTACAAAAAGGCGAGACATATCTCTTAGATAACAGTTTATTACTTATTATATTTTATTTCAGGAATTGGATATGAGGACATGGAGACATTACCTAATGGTTTAACACTTATTACATCAGTAGGTATAGTATTGCCTTGAGTTATTGCTATTGGTTCACATAGATTGATTACTGAAAATGTCAAAAGCATATTCAAGGTGAGAATAAGTCGTACAGCGAGACAGTTTGTAGGTTTTTTTAATGGAAGATTGACAGCTAATTGAGTTTTGTAGTACTTTTAAAGTTTACTATCCAGTTGGATGGGTCTATATCTCTTATGGCGATACTATAGAAATAGAAGATGTGGTATAATCATCAATGAGACAACTCTCCACTAAAGACCACATTTTATGTTATCAACTTATTCACTGTGATCACCATTTTGAAGATTGTAAGGAGTACTATGTGTAACATCTTCCGAGGTCAAAAACCAAAATACAAATCCTTTATCAATCTTTCTTGGCCACTGCCTTGCAGATAAAATATGCATGTTACACACTTGATCCCACAACAGCCAGAGCACTCAAAACCCAGAAGTATAAACAATGAACAATAAACGATGAGTTAATATGCAAACGTGTGTCAGGGACAAGGCGCTGATATTATTGAATCCTACCAAGTAGATATGAATATATGATCTGCTCAGTTTAGTTTGTCTAGAATTATGACCCTTTCAACTTATGAAAAGGTCTCAGAAAGTAGTAATGTGTGAATTATTTATCTACAATGAAAAAATTATTATGCAAATTACTGATGAAAAAGCAAATTGACATGTCCATTTCAAATAAAAATCAGTAATGATGTATGAGAAGTAAATTTCCTTTCTACAAGTCATATTTTTCAGGGCATTGTGATGCCAACAGCTTCTCCTAAAGTTCATGCATACCACAAGAAGCACAATAGAAGAGGCAGAATATATTTGTTTGATTTTAATCAACCAGATAAAGGCATAGAAGAACTGACAATTGTTGGGGACCAGTTTAACCAGTCTGATTTCGGTCCACATGGCATTAGTTTGTGGAAAGACAATAAAGGTAATTTTCACAAACAAATAAGTTCTAAGCACTTTGCCATTTGTTTTAGTTGTATTTTGGAATGCAGTGCTTTTCAATAGTTTACTCCAGTCTTATCTATAAAGGTGACCAACATACATTATAAAATCTTTTAACAAAAACAGCAGATTTTACTGAAATTGAAAGTGACCTTATAACCATCACAGACACTAAAATATCATTCAAAATGTTTTATTCTCTGTATTTACAGTATCTTTGCATTAAAATTGTTTGATATTATCACATTATATTTAGGAGTAACTTTTCACATGATACAGTTGAGACACAGGTTTTTTTTAATTTTAAAAGTTACGATGATCAGAAGCAGTTTAAGAACTGCATAATGTTATGCAACCACTAAAGTGTTTCAGTAATATTGTATTAATGGTCCAGTGTGACACTTCAATTACTTTGCATGAAAAGACGAACCTGTAAGGAAAATGGCATTGACATGTTAACCCAACAACACAATAAAATAGAAAAGGATATCTAGAGGTCAAGTTGTAGTCTTCAATGGCAGACTAGCATGTGTACCAGATGATAATCTGAATGCCTAAATATTTGTATATTTTTTTAAGGTAAAGTTACAGTAATGGTGGTAAACCATGATTCAACTGGAGATACACTAGAAAAGTTTGTGTTTATGGCTAAAGATAAGCAGCTGAAGCATGTACACACTTACAGAGACCCAAGTATACATTTGTAAGTGTTATAGATACCAAGCAAAGAGAAAAGTTATGATGGTGTTCTAACAAGGTGATTTTACCCTGTGTAAATTAAAATTACTTTGGAGCTTTGAACAGGGAATGTGATCAAAGGAAAATTGAATTGTATTAAGAATCCCTATTCTCGTGAAAGAAGACTCCCCCCCCCTCCCCCTTATGGAGCTACATTTA